TTAAAAGAATGTCTGCCATTGGGTGTGCACAGATAGCAACACATTCTTGCCTCTAGGCCTCTGAGATTCCTGCATATTTAGTGCAAGTTAACATACAAATCTGCATTCCCCCACCCCCACTATGGGCTCTAACTCAGGGTCTTGAGCAGGCCTTATACTACTCCCTACCAGAGAGCTACATCCCCACCCCCCTATTGCATTTCTTATGATTAAAGTGTGTTTTGCTATGGCATCTTTTTTTTTTTTTTTTTTTTTTTGGTAAAGGAGATTGAACCTGTGGGTTCTTAACCATTTGAACCACATCCCAAACCTTTTTATTTTGAGACAGGGTCTCACCAAGTTGCTTGGGCCACTGAAAACTCCCTCACTAAATTGCTTAGGGACTGGCCTTGAATTTGCAATCTTTCTGCCTCAACCTCCTAAACCAATGAGATTACAGGTTTGTGTCACCATGCCTGACTGCCATGGCTTCTTGAATTAGCAGAAAGATACTCAAATTAGACAATACTCAATATTCTCATCTCTGTAACAGGCAATAGCTTCCATTCTGCCAGAAACTGGCCTGAAGCAACTGCTATAGTAAAGTGTTTTTGTTTTGGTTCAGGAAATTGAACCCAAGGGTACTTACCACTGGGCTATATCCCCAGCCCTTTTTTATTTTGAGACAGAGTGTCACTAAATTGTTGAGGCTAGTCTCAAATTTGCGATCCTCTTGTCTCAACCTCTGGGAATACTGGGATTACAGGCATGTGCCTCCATATCCGACAGCAAACTATATATATATATATATATATATATATATATATATATATATATTTTTTTTTTTACTATTTTTTGGGGGTAGTAGGGATTGAATTTAGGGGCACTCGACCACTGAGCCACATCCCCAGCTCTATTTTGTATTTAGAGACAGGGTCTCACTGAGTTGCTTAGCGCCCAGACTTTGCTGAAGCTGGCTTTGAACTCACAATCCTACTGTTTCAGCCTCTCAGCCACTAGGATTACAGGTGTGTGCCACCGTGTCTGACTAGATGTTTTAGTTGTAGATAGACACAATGCCTTTATTTTTATTTTTATGTGGTGCTGAGGATTGAATGAAGAGCCTCACACATGCTACCACTGAGCCCCAGCCCCAGCCTGCAAACTATATTTTTAAGGATGATTTTACATTCATCTAACTAAAGAATGTGCTAGACTTCAAAGATGTACACTTATATATGTGTGTGTGTGTATGTGCGTGTGCATGTGTGTAACAGGACAAAATGGGTCTGGATTAAAGAGAAGATAGTATGTGAAATAGTAAATAACAAAACATTTTGAGCAAGCACAGGGAATGAAACAGTGATTCTAACTTGAAATTCTTGAAATGCTGGTAAGTGCATACACATACATTTTTATATATTTACATATAATGTTAACTGTAATATGCATTTATATATGTATATAATATCTCTTAAATTTTTAAAATCACTGATATAAATTCTTTATTTAAACATTAACTTTGCATTATTATTGTAGGGTATAATGATTTTCATATACACTGGACAATGTACTATGTATCTCATCATCAACTATTTTTTTAAAATTTTTGTAGTTGTAGTTGGACACAATAAATTTATTTTATTTATTTTTATGTGGTATTGAGAGCTGAACCCAGCACCTCGCACATGCTAGGCAAGTGCTCTACCGCTGAGCCACAACCCCAACCCCCATCAACTACTTTTTATTTAAAAATACTTAATATTATATTTATTTAGGCACAGTCACTTTTTTTTTTTGTACCAGGGTTGAATACAGGAGCATTTGCCCTCTGAGCCACATCCCCATTCCTTTTTCTATTTTACTTAGAGAAAGGGTCTCACTGAGTTGTTTAGGGCCTTGCTAAATTGCTAAGGCTGGCTTTGAAATCTTGGTCCATTTGTCTCAGCCTCCCAACCACTGGGATTACAGGTGTGCACCAACACTTCGGGTGGCACATATACTTGTTTTTTTTTGTTTGTTTTTTTAATTGTAGATGAACAGAATGCCTTTATTTTATTTGTTTATTTTTATATGGTGCTAAGTGTCAAGCCCAGTGCCTCACACATTCTAGGCAAGCACTCTGCCATTGAGCTACAGCACCAGTCCAGCACATGTACCTTTTTTTTTTTTAAAGAGAGAGAGAGAGAGAGAGAATTTTTCAATATTTATCTTTTTTTAGTATTTCGGCGGACACAACATCTTTGTTTGTATGCGGTGCTGAGGATTGAACCCGGCCGCAAGCATGCCAGGCGAGTGCGCTACCGCTTGAGCCACATCCCCAGCCCTTAGGTCAGATTTTAAAGGACATATAGGCTCTGTCTATACCAGGAAGAGAGTAAGAAGCCTCCAAGGGAAGGGTCAGGTTTGAACCCCAGTAGGAGGGCAGGAAAATGCAAGTCCAGACCATTTGGCTCATGGAAAGAATTTTATAGTTATTTGTGGGAAGTAAGTTTGAAAGGATGGTTCAGCTGGAATGAGGGTAACAACCATGCTTATCTTTGTGGTTTTGGTACACCTTGAGGGAGAGTAGTGCTCTGTTAGGACAAATATTACAGGAGATCATTGTTTTGTACTAAGCTCCTTTGTAGACCAGACTAAAAATCAAAATGGAGTCTCTCACACTACAGTTCCAGGTCACCAAACTGGAACTGAGCTGTTTATCTGATCTTCACAGAAGTCAGGATTAAAGGGATAAACAGCCAAACTCCAAATCAGCCAATTTCAATTGGCATGATAATGAAGTTCCTTGTGCTTTAATCCTTCCACAAGAGAAGTAACCTGAGGGTAATTAATCAGTTATTTCCCCATGGTACTATCCCCCTATACAAGGAAAATAACTGAAGCCAGGTGCTGTGACACATACCTGTTACCCAGATACTTAAGCCTGAGAGAGGAGTATAGCAATTTCAAATTTGAGACCAGACCGGGTAATTTAGCAAGACACAATCTCAAAAGAAAATAAAGAGTGCATTGGCACAGACCTGTAATCTTGGTTGAGACAGGAGGATCACAAATTTAAGGTCAGTCTTAGCAATTTGGTTAGATCCTCAACAACTTAGTGAGACCCCTGTCTCAAATTTAAAAATTAAAACAAACAGACAAACAAAACGCTGGGAAAGATAGCTTACCTCAGAGGTACAGTGCTTGCTTGGCATGTGTAAGGCCTTGACTTCAATACCCAGCACTGTAAAAGAAAGGCAGGGGAGAAGAGAGAGAAAGAAAGAAATAAAGAAATATAATATGTCATACACATGCCAAGTCCTCCCTGGGAATTGGTCTTTTTTTTTTTTTTTTTTTTTAGAGAGAGAGGGGAATTTTTTAATATTTATTTTTTAGTTTTCGGCGGACACAACATCTTTTGTTTGTATGTGGTGCTGGCCGCACGTATGCCAGGCAAGCTCGCTACCACTTGAGCCACATCCCCAGCCCAGGGAATTGGTCTTGTAGGGTCTCGGAAATAACCATCTGTTTTAATGCAGCTTCCTGCCCTGAGTCTCTGGTAATTGTAGACCTCACTGAGTTTCTTTCTCTTATATTTTATTATCATATCATTATCATTTTGGTAAATAATAACGTTGGACCCATGGGTGCTTTACTACTGAGTTACATCCCCCAAGCTGTCTTAATTTTTTTTTTTAAAATGTCTCAATAAGTTGCTTAGGGTCTCCCCAAATTGCTAGGCTAGTCTCAGCTTTAGCTTCAGTCTCCTGCCTCATCCTGCTGAGCTACTGGAATTACAGGCAAGCGCCAACATGCCTGGCATGAAAAATATTTTTAAAATATCTTTTTAGATGTAGATAGGCAAAATACCTCTATTTTATTTTTATGGTGCTGAGGATGGAACTAGGTGCCTCCCACATGCTAGGCGAGTACTTTACCGCAGACCCACAAATCCAGCCTCAGTGAAGAATATTTTTAACATGTCATATACATGGAGCAAACAGCAATTTTATTTGTTTATTTACTGGTACTATAATAGTGATCAACTACAGCCCTTGCTCCTCAGCCACTGCAACTCTTTTTAAAATTTACTTTTTAGTTATAGGTGGACACAATACCTTTATTTTATTTTTTGTGGTATTTTGAGGATCAAACTAGTGCCTCATGCTAGGTGATCACTCTACCTCTGAGCCACAACCCCAGCAACCACCAACACACGTGCAACTTATTTTTATTTTCTTTAGATTTTATTAAGTCATAAATGTACAACAGCTTAAGTCTACACATGCACTTAATTTTTTTAAAGGAAAACATTATGTCTTATTACATCATGATCCTGGCTAATAGCTTTTCAAAACTTTGAGAAAAATCTTAAAGTTTTCACATGACACCTGAAACTTTACAAATTTAACATTATCAAAGAAGGAATGCTTCTACACTTACAAAGAACCACTAGAAAGTAACAACAATTAAAAAGCTAAGAAACTGTCTCAAAGGCTTTTATTATTTTTTACAAACCTTCCCCCACAGTAAGGCAATGTTATTAAATAATCTAATCTATCCCCAAAATGGCTCTCTGCCATCTGCTCTGGTGTCTTCTGCCATATCATTGCATATTTATGCATGACTGAGATAAGAGTTTCCTTAACATTGTTATTTCAATAACCTGAAGCTGTTCAGTTACCTTTGAGCTCTCATCCTCTCCTATTTACACAGTGAAGCTCAAGGCAAATAGGACGAAGCTCAATATCGGCTCCTCCCACCAGAACCCTCACTTCCTCCAGGACCATAATGGTCGCCCCATGTTCCTGCTACCCAAGTTTCCACTCTTCAATAGATTTTAGAAGGTTGCTGGTTACCTTCTTTTTTTTTTTTTTTTAAAGAGAGAGTGAGAGAGGGAGAGAGAGATAGAGAGAATTTTAATATTTATTTTTTAGTTATTGGCGGACACAACATCTTTGTTTGTATGTGGTGCTGAGGATCAAACCCGGGTAGCACGCGTGCCAGGCGAGCGCGCTACCGCTTGAGCTACATCCCCAGCCCGGTTACAATTTCCAAAATCATTATGACTTCCACTTCCACAATTTCCTCCTCCAGAGTTGTCATAACCACCTCCATAGCCCTCACCCCGGTTTCCATAGCCAGATCTTCTACCACCATGGCCTCCTCTTCCTCCTCCATTACCAAGGCTACCTCCAAAATTGCCACGTCCAGGTCCTCCTCCAGATCCATTAGAGCCATCCCCAAATCCACGTCCACTTCCATATCTGTCAGATCTTCCTCTAAAGTTGCCTCCTCTTCCACTCCTGGAACTTTGGACTTTTTGCATTTCTTGTCTGGACAAAGCCTTTCGTACTTCTGCATTATGACCATTGATGGTGTGATATTTTTGCAATACAATTTTGTCCACAGGATCAGGGTCATCAAACGTAACAAAACCAAAGCCTCTTTTCTTTCCAGACTGCCTATCGGTAATTATCTCAATGGTGTCAATTTTTCCATATTCTTTAAAGTAATCTCTGAGGTGGCGTTCCTCGGTATCTTCTTTGATTCCGCCAACAAACAGCTTCCTCACAGTCACACGGGCCCCTGGTTTTCCAGATTCCTCTCTTGCTATAGCTGGTTTTGGCTCGACCACTCTCCCATCAATTGAATGCGGTCTTGCAGCGATGGCAGCATCAACCTCAGCCTTGGATGAGAAAGTTACAAAACCAAATCCTCTTGATCTTTTGCTTGCAGGATCCCTCACAATCACACAATCTGTAACTTTCCCCCATTGCTTGTAGTAGTTTCTTAAAGTTTCTTCTGTGGTTTTAAAACTTAAGCCACCAATAAAGAGTTTACGGAAGTGTACCTTTTCTCTCTCCATCGCGGACTCAGTCGCTTCAGCCCGATTTCCCGCAGGCAAGTGAGATAAGAGAGATCTCTGCAGACAAACCGGACTGTCCTGGCGCTGTAGTGAGAACTGCTGCTGAAGAGCACCTCCGCACAGGACCTTCGCTGCTGCTGCTACTGCTAGAGTGGCTGCGGCTCTTTTTCTAGAGCCTTCCTCCAACTCACTCCAATTTATAGTTAAAATGGACTTGCTCCTCCCTAATCTCTCCCCTCCCTAATCTCAGGGAAATGGGATTACCCTTTTTTCCCCCTTGTTAGGCAGATTTATTTTGTCCTTGAGTTCACACCCACCATAGGAATGAAGTAATCCAGATTTTGGGGAGGGTATCAGAAGATCTCAGAAATGACTCTCTCCCAAATTAACAAGTGAATTATATATAACTCCAGGCAGAAAAACCTGTGGAATGTAGCCTTTGAATAACCTCTTTAAAAGTCCCTTGTTCCTGCTGATGGACAGAATCACAGCCTTTAGGACACGTGTCCCCTGTGTTTCTCCTTTGCTAGTAAAGCAAAAAAATCCTCTCTTTTTCCTTTTTTCTCAAAACCGTGTCCTCATTATTGATTGGCATCAGGGACAAGGACCAAGCTTTTAGCAACAAAAGGAAGCTTGCTGCTGTGTTTTCGGCGTTTCCCTGGCGTGTTCTCAGCCCACAGGCAGAGTCAATTTTCCTTTGCTCAGCCAGTTTTATGGCAAATTGGTTGTGCAAAAGAGCTGGGTACAAAGTATCCATACTTCAGTTTGTGTCCACTTGGCCTGTTGTGTATATTTTCTAGAAAATGCTGGGGTGGTAATGACTGTACATTTTGAAGAAGAGTAAGTGAGGGGCCAGGACAGTGACACATGCCTGTAATCCCATGGGCTCAGGAGGTTGAGACAGGAGGATTGTGAGTTCAAAGCCAGCTTCAGCAGAAGTGAGGCACTAAGGAACTCAGTAACATGCTGTCTTTAAACAAAATACGAAATAGGGCTGAGGATGTGGCTCAGAGGGCAATTGCTCCTGAGTTCAATCCCTGGTACCCTCTTACCCTTCCAAAAAAAAAAAAAAGAGTAAGTGAGGGAAGCTGAGCAAAGGTGGTTGAGGGAATAGACTAGCAACCAAGGATTTGGATTTAGACTGCCAAGGATTATTAAATTGATATATAAATAAAGTGAGCTCTTGGCATGGCCATGGATTCAACAAACCATTGGGGATGCTCAGTTTCATACACCATGCAAGTCAGAATGAGAAACAATGGGTTCAAGGTTTTCACCCTAGAGCTACTGCAAGAGCCCCTGATACTTTAGAATAGTGTTTGTCACACTTCAGGATTCATTCACATTTCCTGGAGTCCAGGTTAGAACAGAATCCCATCACAGAATTTGTGAATTATTAAGTCCCACCCAGAATCAATACTTTGCATTTTAAAATAAAATAAAAAAGGTCCGAGGATGTAGTTCAGTGGTAGAGTAGCCCTGGGTTCAACCCCAGTACCACAAAAAGAAAAACGAACTAGTGACTTGTTACCATCATGGAGGAGCACCAGAGCTACTTCAGCACACTTCCAAGCCTCATCCTGTCAGCTACAAAACCAGTTCAGAAGTGTGGTTTTCCCCGGTCATTCTGCCTTGTGTTATGAATATCCAAGTTCGTTTATGTGCATAGTTGTAATAGTTGACCAAGTATGCTTTTTGATATAATAATGTCTTTCTAAATCAAGAACACCACCTAGCATGCACAACGTCCAGGGTTCAATCCCTAGCACCTGGAAGCGGGGGGGGGGAAAAAAATCAAATACCACTACATAGACTATAGGATAGTTTCAAAGAATTCATGTTTATAAAATGGATGCTCTCTAAGTTGGCCTCTCTTTGGAAAGATGGTCAAACCCTATGGGCCCCCAGAGTTCTAGGGCAGCCAATCTTGTTGGTGCTACTTTACTACATAACTTACTTTTTTTTTTTTTTTTTTTCTGACTCCCTTGGTGTTGCCATTTTCCCCTCAGCTCATGTGAATGTACACACTGGCCACAGCATCTGGAAAAATTGTGGTAATACAGCAGTTTGGGAACGGAACAGCAGGATTAGGGCAAGTCATGATGAGTAAGTATACTTTCAACCAGGAATATCCTAAACATCGTTGGAAAAATTACTACCTCTGCACTGAGATTGCTCCAGATTGCAGAGGCACACAGCTGTAGGGACTCAGATGAACCAAGAACCCATTGTGGAAGCTCAGTTGTGTTCCGCACACATAATCAGGAGTCTCTCTGTTTATCTAAATGCATACTTATTAAGTGCTTCCTCTTTGGGTATGTTTATCGTGCTTCACCATTTTCTATATTTTCCCTAATGGCACACAAAGATTAAATTATTTTTAAGTACAGCTTTCTTCTGCCACATCCATTTATTCACTCATTTGTCTCTTAATTCTCAGTCACTTGTCTACTAAACATTAATTCAATCTCTGGCACCATACTTGACATTAGAAGTACAAAGATGGGCCAGGCATGGTGGTACAGGACTGTAATCCCAGCTGCTCCAGAGGCTGAGGCAAGAAGATCACAAGTTCAAGGCCAGTTTCATCACTTAGTGAGGCCCTAAGTATTTAGTGAGACCCTGTCTCAAAATCAAAATTAAAAAGGATTAGGGATGTGGCTTACTGGTTAAGAGCCCCTGAGTTCCAAAAAAAAAAAAAAAAAGAACAAAGATGAGTAGATTATAGTGTCAGATCATCAGGGCTCTCAGGGTTCTAGAGGAGACAAATGTGAAAGCAGATAATTCCTAAAAAGCTATAAGGAGTGACAGGCAGGTATATACCAAATACCCGACTGATGGAGCCAAAAAAAATTACCCGGAGGAGATGATAATGGACCTGGGTTTTGGGTAGGGACCCCAGTAGGGAGACTCTAATCTAGATCGAGGAAACAATGTGTATAAAGACAAGGAGGTAAGAAAGTAACTGACTTGCTCACGGCTGCCTGTGGCCAAGGAGTGGCAGCAGATGGAACTGGAAAGGTAAGCAAAGACATCAAGTAAAGCAATTGCCCACAGAACTAGATATACCTGCTTTCGCCCTGGATAATATCATTCAGAATAGATTGGTTAAATATGCAGTAGGAAAATTTCAGAAAGTATGACACAAATAACTGGGGGTTTTAGTATATTAATTTTAACTTTAAAGTTTATTAACCTAAAAACAGTCATATTGTTTGAATATTATCACTGTCATAGGAAAAAGGTTAAGACTCATCAGAAGGAGACTGTTCCCATTAGACCAAACAATATAAATTTTCTCCAAGTTTGTACAACTTTCTTTTGGGTGCACTCTACAAATAGACTACATCTTAAGCCCTTTTTATTATTATAAGACAGGGTCATGCTAAGTTACCTAGGCTGGATTTGAACCTGTCATTCTCCTTCCTCAGCCTCCCAGATTGCTGGGATTACTGACATGAACCACTTTTACCTGATTTGGGACTGATTAGTTAGCTTATCAATGTTAGTTTTTAGCATTTATTTTTTAGTTGTAGCTCAACACAATATCTTTATTTTATTTATTTCTTATTTTTATGTGGTGCTGAGGATCAAACCCACGGCCCTGCACGTGCTAGGTGTGCATTCTATCAATGAGCCACAACCTCAGCCCAGCCCAGATTATCAATGTTAAAATTTCTCATTTCAAATTTATACTTTTAGTCTTGACTGTCTATAGAAAGAGGGATGTTCTCATCAAAATTTCCTTTCCTTTTACAATTTTAGTATAAATTAAGTTTATTTTAAGCATAGTCATACAGTTATTCTCTGATATGTAGCTATCAAAAAAAATTTTTTTTCATACTATTGAGTGAACCCAGGAGTGCTTTACTGCTGAG